TAATATATTAAATGGACTTAGGGGCGAAAGCCAAGAGATACCCAGCTTGACTGCTCCATGTTCTTGAAATCACGCTCCTTTCTCATCAATCCTGCCCCCCATTGAATGTGTCTCAAACCCAAGCAATTAATTAAGCATCAAATGCAAATTGTAAATTATTGACCAGTTTATTATATGAGAAAAAAAAAATGAGTCTAATAATTTGGAATAAGCTTAGCCCCAATCAGGTGGGAAAAAATACAGATTCAGATTATACTTTACGGTTACAATTACGGTAACTTAAAAGTTTATAAAAATAAACATGTATATTTCTTTCCATAAAGTCAGAGGACACATTTCAAAAAAAAAAAAAAAAAAAAAAAAACTTTTAACAGGTTTAGTTGGACTATGAATAAGGACCTGGTTGCTTCAGTGATTTTATGCCCCAACAATTCATACTTGAGTCATTTTCCATGTGATATCGGGATCATGGTCAAAGATAGACTTTCGCCTATGCTTTCATTCATCATATTTGTATCTCTCAAGGGCGTTTCTGGAGCAGACCCCATTGATAGTTATTGTCCCAGTGAATTCCCATTATACACCTTCAATAGTTCATTCCATTACAACCTCAAACATGTTGTGGCGTTGATTTCCTCCAGCAAGGCTTCAAAGGAAGGTTTCTATGACACATCAATCGGAGAAGAGCCAGACAAAGTATGTGGACCATCACTGTGCAGAGGAGACATCACGAACTCCACAATTTGCCAACAATGTGTTGAGAAAGCGAGCCAAGATATAATGAATAGGTGCAGGAGTAAAACTGCGATAATATGGTATGAACTTTGCCAAGTGAGGTACTCCTTTCAGAACTTTAATGTCGTTGCTTACACTGGAAAGTATCCTGAGCAGAATGACGAGGAGAAGAATGTACCCGATCCTATCAAATTTAGGGAATATTTGACATATTTAATGAAGAATCTCTCGGAGGAGGCTTGTTTTGATCATGCTAAGAAAATGTTTGCTGCTGGGGAAATAGACTACAGTGGGAACAAGACAATTTATGGGTTAGTACAATGTACGAGGGACATGTCCCAAAGGGATTGCAGTAGTTGTTTGAGTTCTGCCTTCACGGAACTTACTGCATGCTGCTCCAACAGGGAAGGTGGGATTATTGTTAGCCGTACTTGCAATATCAGGTTCCAATCGTATCACTTCTTCAATGCTTCATCTGCATATCGCTTGATTTACCCCACTTCCCAAGGTCAGCATTTTTAATTCTTCATCCAAATTCTTCATTGCTTACACAACTCAATGCAACTTCAAAATTACCCAGATATTTATTGGGGGTAGGGTTCAGTCATTAGTTCTTATTCAAGTTTAATTTTAATATATTCTATTCATATGTTTATTCCCATTTGCTACAGGATAATTTTGAAAATATATAGTTCAATTTTATTTTAGTTTTAGTTTTTTTTAGTGTTGATTCTTATAATTTTTTTAAAGTGGTCATTGTCACCAACTCATGATGTGACATATATTTGTTTGAAATTTCTTCATTATCCGTATACCATTGAAGTATGAGTGTACTAAACATATGCTCAGGTTCTCTTCTATGATTCTATCTTGCTTTCATTGTATTTTTTTCTTTATTTCTGTCTTGATTGTTTATTATATTATTCGTTATGTTTATAAAAAAAATTCTCTCCTCTTTCTTTCCATACACTAAAAAAAATAATTTACAAATATCATTACTCCATTCAAGGTTAACAAAGTATCAATTAATTTTGTTAATTCAAACAAATATGAATTACAAGAGTTCATTAACCATTCTTCAAATTTCGCGCATCTTTCTTTTGTATATAGGCGAACTGGTTAAAAATTAGAGTTATTAGATAATGATAGTAATAATGAAAATTCTTGTAAATTGTAATTCTTTTTAAGAAAGTCTTATTTTATTCTTGTGAGAATTGAGATATACTAAATTATTACTAGATGAGATTAATATACCGTCTTGTGCCAAAGAACAGAAATATTGTCACCATATTTTTAGCAGTGAATATAATTTACTACATTTCATATGGTTTTCTTTGCTCAAATTAATAGGGTTTTATGTATTAAATTTTGTGGTTTTATTCTTCTTGTATTTATTTTGTTTCTATTTGATGTCTATTTTGAATTCTTAAAAATATAATTTATTCTTTTAATTCCAACACATTTAGAGATATCATGTCATATGCCATATCAAATGGTGACTAATATATAGAATAACTATATGCGTCCATGTTACATTATTATTATTATTATTATGTAATGACATGAATCATTTTTTAAAAAAATTTACAATTTATAATAATCAATACAAACAACTTTTTAAGACTAATATCAAGTTTAATTTTATTTGATGGGCGACATGAATAGGCGATTAGGATTTTAGCATCATCATCTTGGTTTCATCCATACTGTGGAAAAGGTATTGACAGAAGGTTTTATTTTTTTATTTTTTCAATTTATAAGGAAGGAAATGGAAACCCTGGATGATTGTGTTGACTACATGTGGCTCAATTTTAGTATTATCACTTCTTATTGGGCTGGGCACTGCTTGCATCCGACGAAAAAAACACATAAACAGAGGTGAACTTCTATAATTGTAATTTATTAAATATCACAAAACCATATAGAAACTGTCAGCTTCAGTTTTATTTAATTGGTTTCTATTTGTGTCTTCAAAACATAAATGAAACAGATGGAGAAATGAATGAAAGAACGCTATTACGAGAGTTGTCTATCTCCAAGAATGTTGCAGTCACACAAGAAGGTGACTTGATTAGTTCCGATGAATTGTTCATGACTGTAGTTGCCCTTAAGGCAGCTACTAAGGGCTTTTCTGATACAAATAAGCTGGGACAAGGAAGCTTTGGTTCAGTGTACAAGGTCATATATAATCCACATAAGCTCTTTCTTTCTTAATAGTCTTTTCATTTATGTTTGATCTTTGAATTCAATTACATTGCAGGGTGTTCTACCAGATGGTACTGAAATAGCAGTTAAAAGATTATCGAGAAAATCTTGGCAAGGCGTAGCGGAATTAAAAAATGAGGTCATACTCATTGCCAAACTTCAACACAAGAATTTGGTGAGGCTCTTAGGCTGTGCTTTAGAGGGGGATGAAAAGCTGCTCGCATATGAATTCATGTCAAACAAAAGCCTTGATCAGTTTATCTTTGGTTCGTTCTCTTGCTTACCTTTCAATTCATAAACCTTCCACAACTTGCTTTTACACAAGATAACATTTAATTGACTCTTCAAGATCGAGCAAAACGTTCAAAACTTGATTGGAAGACATACCATGGCATTATCAATGGCATAGCCAGAGGACTACTTTACCTTCACGAGGAGTCTCGCCTTAAAATCATTCAGAGACTTGAAGCCAAAAAATGTGTTGTTGGATCACGAAATGTTGGCCAAAATATCAGATTTTGGCATGGCCAGGATATTTTCTGAGAATCAGAATGCAGCAAACACGAAAAAAGTTGTGGGAACATAGTAAGCTAATTACTTGCATGCACCCATCGTTTATTTAATTTCTGCATTTGTATTAATATTTTATATGCAAGATTACTTTCTATGAACTGAACTATGAACCCGCACGATGTTGATGATGAAAATAGTGGATATATGGCTCCAGAGTATGCAATGCAAGGATTGTTCTCCGTGAAATCTGATGTCTTCAGTTTTGGTGTTATCTTGCTTGAAATCATCAGCGGGAAAAGAAACAGTGGCTTTTACTTAACCGAACTTGCACCAACCCTGCTGGCATATGTAATTTTATTAGTCCAACTCTTCATTAGTGATATATCTTGTCTTTTGTTAATTCCAATTAGTAAATAACAAGGGTAGGAAAAATATGTTTAACTGTGTTGTTGATTGTAACTATGACAGGCATGGCGACTGTGGAGTGAAGGAAAAGAATTGGACTTTGTAGATCCAATGCTATTGGAATCATGCATTGCCTCTGAAGTCGTAATGTGCATGCACATTGGGCTGCTGTGCGTGCAGGAAAATCCGGAGCACAGGCCCACCATGTCTAATGTGGTGATGCTTCTGGGAAGTAAAGCAAAGCCTCTTCCCCAACCAAGACAACCAGCATTTTCTTTGGGTAGGGTGCCTCGTGTTGATCCATCCACAAGAACTGATCCTTCAGTGAATGAGATGATATTTTCTGATATTTTACCACGATGATTTGACACTCTTTGTCGTAATGTAGGGGTGTTGGTATCTTACCATGCCTTCTTAACTGGCCATGTTATATAAACTGTGATGTACCTTACATGTACAACTAACTCCGCAGGGAATTCAGATGAGAAGACTTGGTCTACTTGTGATGTTTGATGTTTTACTAATAAATGGAAGCATGTTCTGTATCTGCTACTACTTAATAGTGCTCTGTCTATCTACGTGTTGACTTGTATATCGGTGTGAAATGTTCCTTTCATTGAAGTCCCCACCCATCGCATCCCCGGCGACTTTGAGTCATCGCTCCTTTATTTTGGACGACCCTAACTCAGACTCAGTCACGGTTTTCCATTTCAAATTTTGGACTTTTCTTCTTTATAACATTCGATAATCAAAATTAATCACGGAAGATTACAAATTCTCACCGTACAAAGATTAAGTTAAATCTAAATTCACTTTCTATCAAAATTTATCCTAACAAAGTTGTTGGATTTACTATCTCACACCCGCTATTATACCACATGCATGTGTCTTACAAATTTGTGTTAAAATGTTATACAGCAATTAATAACATGAACAAAATAGAACGTGGAGCGATGCTTACATCAGCCAACTTATACAGTACATTGATATAGACAGGGTGTGAAAGTTTTAACCATTAACCATCTGATGTAATCAAGTTTGTGATAAAATTAGAGCCTGTTTAGGCGCTTGTAAAATTGTTAGTTTGAAAAGAAGTTAATTTAAGTGGACACTTGTGCCAGATGAAGGAAGCAACAGCTACAGTGTATGCCAAAAAGTCAAGAAGTCTCCACTCCAGTCACTATTAAACAAAACAAAAAATAGAAAGTGCTGCAAAACCAGTGCGTATGTGAAGTGGAGAGAGAGATGGTTATGCAAGTATCCATGACCATGGCATCCTTGAAGCCTGTGTTGCTGATGATCTTCCTCAGCTTCTTCAACTTGGAGACGTGTAAAGCACAGGTGTACCTGTACCATAACTGTTCAGGCAGCAACACCACCGCCAACAGCGCCTACCAACTAAACACCCGAACCCTTTTCACTTCCTTAACATCCAACGCTTCCTCCGCCGAATTCTCGAACGCCACCGTGGGAGCGTCCTCCTCCGACACCGTGCGCGGGCTGTTCATGTGCAGGGGCGACATGTCCGCCGCGCCGTGCCAGCAGTGCGTGGTGAACGCGACGCGGCGTCTCCTCTCCGAATGCGCTTTGGCGAAACAGGGAGTGATATGGTACGACGAGTGCATGGTACGGTACTCCAACCGGTCCTTCTTCTCGACGGTGGACACGCGGCCACGCCTTGGTCTCCTGAACACCGCCAACATCACCAACCAGGAATCGTTCATGAGCTTGCTTTTCAAAACCATAAACGAAACCGCTGACGAGGCTTCCAACTTCTCGGTGGGCGTGAAGAAATACGCGACGAAGCAAGCCAACATTTCGGCGTTTCAGACGCTGTATTGTTTGGCTCAGTGCACGCAAGATCTGTCTCGGGAAGACTGCAGAAGGTGTTTGAGTGGTGTGATTGGAGACCTTCCTTGGTGCTGTCAGGGGAAGCAGGGAGGAAGGGTTCTCTATCCCAGCTGCAATGTTAGGTACGAGCTTTACCCTTTCTATCACTCCACTGCTTCTCCGCCAGCGCCTTCACCCTCGCCATCGCTGCTTCTTCCTCCTCCACCTTCCTCAAATTCCGGAGGTAAACGAGTTTTATATTAAGAGTAAAAGAATATTCATAAGGTCATTGATAAGCCTCATCAAAACTTCACACTAATAACAAGAATACCAAAATCAAATTATATATAACCTAATTTTAACTTCTTATTTTGTTATTTCCTTTTGTTTTCATGTTTTGGAACGGCATGCAGGAAGCAGTGGGATTTCAGCTGGGACGATTGTTGCAATTGTGGTTCCAATAGCGGTTGCTGTGCTTATATTTATAGTGGGAATTTGTTTCTTAAGCAGAAGAGCAAGGAAGAAGCAGGGCCCTGTCAAGGAAGGGAAAAGTAAGAATTCACCAAAGGATATTCATTTTTTTTTCTTAGTGATTTTTACTAAGCATTTGATTTGGGTTTTTAGCTGCGTATGACATCAGCACTGTCGAGTCCTTGCAATTCGATTTCGGAACAATTGAAGCGGCCACGAATAAATTCTCTGTGGATAATAAGTTGGGCGAAGGTGGATTTGGTGAGGTTTACAAGGTAAGTTGCTGGTGTACTTTTTTTGTTTCTAAAATACAAGCAAATGAAATCGGTCTACATTACATATATCTCATTTAATTTATTTTGGAAAATGCAGGGTACTCTTTCGAGTGGACAAGAAATAGCTGTCAAGAGACTCTCCAAAAGTTCTGGACAAGGTGGGGAAGAATTTAAGATGGAAGTGGAAGTGGTTGCCAAGCTTCAACACAGAAATTTGGTTAGGCTTCTCGGGTTTTGCTTGCAAGGAGAAGAGAAGATACTTGTTTATGAATATGTGCCCAACAAAAGTCTAGACTATATTCTCTTTGGTAGGACCAGTGCATTCTTCTGTAATCTGTATACATGCTTTACATGCCTGCTTTCTTTTTTTTTTTTTTTTAATTTTTGTCCAGTTTTTGCCCTGTTGGCATGTTCAGTGTATTCGTAAAGTCCTCAATAAAAGAAGCAATGCATAAAAAGCTAAAACAATCATCCATTTGCCTGACAATAACCTGGATGAAACCGTGATAAGATGGTTATAACATTTTTCATATGACTTGAATATTTTGTCCAATTTGTAGATCATGAAAGGCAAAGGGAGTTGGATTGGGCAAGGCGTTATAAGATTATTGGAGGGATTGCTCGAGGTATTCAATATCTTCATGAAGACTCCAGGCTTAGAATTATACACCGTGATCTTAAAGCTAGCAACGTATTATTAGACAGAGATATGAATCCAAAAATCTCTGATTTTGGTATGGCAAGAATATTTGGAGTTGATCAAACTCAAGGAAACACTAGCAGAATTGTAGGGACTTAGTAAGTACAAATTTCTATCTTCCTTGAAGCACCTGTATTTGTAGAAGCACTGTTTTTTAATTCTAACACATCAATCAAAACCATTTCAAATATCTTGGCAGTTTCAATCAAATTCTAAACATCATTTGCGTTACTCCAGATTTTAATCAAACTTTGTTTCTTGTGCTGACGGTTGTGTTGATTCAATCTGTTTTATATGCAGTGGTTACATGGCTCCTGAGTATGCTATGCATGGAGAGTTTTCTGTTAAGTCTGATGTGTACAGTTTTGGAGTCCTCCTTATGGAGATTATAAGTGGCAAGAAGAATAGCTCTTTCTATCAAACGGATGGTGCTGAGGATCTAATGAGCTATGTAAGTAGAGCAGATATTTAGCGTCCTTGAATTCATTTATCCAAATGAAAAGGAAAAATATGTGGTTCTCACACTGACAAATACTTGATAAAATCTTTTTGTAGGCTTGGCAACTTTGGAAGGATGGAGCACATTTGGAACTGGTGGACCCCATATTAAGAGAATCCTGTAATCAGAATGAAGTTATCAGAAGCATCCATATTGGTTTGTTGTGTGTCCAAGAAGATCCAGATGACAGACCTACAATGGCAACAATAGTTCTCATGCTAGATAGTAATACTGTTACTCTACCAACTCCTAAGCGTCCTGCATTTTTTGTCCACAGTGGAACTGATACAAACATGCCAAAGATGCTGCAATTTGATCAATCCACAACAAAGTCAATACCAATGTCTGTCAACGAGATGTCGATTAGCGAAATGGATCCTCGATAAGCTTCATTGCTTTTTAATATGTTTCATTATCCATGTACGTGTCTGTATTGTCGTAGTTTCATATGATTGTGTTTCGAAGTCTTGGAAAACTTTGTATTCCAGTTGCTTATTTTTCAACAGGAAATAATATGTGCTGGCTGGCCGTATATAATAAGTAAGGAAGAGTTATGACATTGCTAAAAAAATTATTCTTGAATCTAGAAGGATTTGAAAATTATACATGATAATAATACCCACCCTAGAAAAAGAAACATGCATAAGGACTTGGTCTTGCGTTGGTACTCCTACCCATACTGAGGATAAGGTGGAAAAGAACTTTCCACAACGAGAGGGAAATCCACAGATGTTAACATAGTACGGTGATGCTCCAGTGACATCGACACTTGAGCCATCAAAATTGACTAAAATGTAAACCAATCAGTCTCTAGCTAACAGATAAAGATATTTACTCGGATGAAACAACCAAGTGCCCGTCTTCTTGTTTCCCATCATTCTGTGATTCATCATTTTCAATTACTAAAAAATAAAATGGTTAAAAGTAGCTTTATTTATAGACTTTTAGTTGATTTAAAATATCCTTGAGGCCACGCCAATCCCAACGTGAGTTCGTGCAGGTTTATATATTCTCTAAATCTCTCTCCAATTTAGTGTCTGTTATGTTATCGAATGAAAAGATTCTCTCCATTTTTTTTATTTTTAAGTTTTTGTTAAAGATAAATAAAATAAAGATTCTACATAACAGAAAAAACTAAGTAATACTATTTATTTTCTCAAAAAAAAAAAAAAACTAAGTAATAGAAAATAAATAATACACCATCAAGAGATCAATCGACTAATTCATGAAAGGAGAAAGCCGTCAATTGGAGTTTTAAAATGCAACACATGATGTAACATTCTTCGAAGATACTGAATCAACTAATTCAGTATTAGAATTTGTCTTAGAGATTCAAATGGAATATTTGTCATGACAAAAATAGTTCATTACCCAGGATGACCATTGGTTCAAGAGGTAGAAGCAATGGGTTTGATGGAGGCTACAAATTGACTCCTGAAGCTTAACTTTTACAACATTATTCTTGAGCTTGATTGTAAATAACTCATCAAAATTGCATTGAATTTGGATCCATACTTAACCTATGTAAAGAAAACTCAAGACATATATATGCAAAACTATATGAAGTTGGTTTCATCATGAAACAAACTAATCATGTTGTTCATATAATCTTGCAAGGACATCTATATGATTTGCTAGTTACCATGTTTTTTAATTTGATTTTTACATGTATTGAAGTTTTCCTTATTAATTAATTGGTGAGTTTTATTTTGTCAAAAAAAAACTTAGTAATAGAAAAAATGATAAATGAAGAAGGTCTTTTCTCGTTATCAACAACAATATCATGTCTTTAGGATTGAGGACCTAGCTATTAATGAAGAGTGTTTCTAGTAATAGAAAAAATATGAAGAAAAAATAAATGAAAAAGTAATATTATGATTTCTTGAGAAAATATAGTATTAGGTATGATCATTTCATTTAAATTTGGAAGAGTAGTCTTCCCTCATTTTACTTCTCCTTTGTTGCCTAATTTTATGGGTATCTTACATATTAGAGCATAGTTCTTTATTTTTGTCTTTACATTTTTTGAGGCATAAAAGAATAGGATAAAATATATTTTTAGCCCTTCTAAAATTCTTAAAATTCTGTTTTAGTCTCTTATAAAAAAAGTTGTATATTTTAATCTATTTAATTTTAAAATATATCACTTTTAGTCCTTATAATGATTCAAATAACAATTAAAATTTGTTATAAAGGACTATCTAAACTACTTTGAGGAGTAAAAGTAATACATTTTGAAATTAGAGGTCAAAATAATACAAATTTTTTCTGAGGGGTTAAAATCAAATTTTGAAAATTTTAGAGAGACTAAAAACATATCTTATCCTTAAAAGTATTTATTTATATAAAATTTGAACCGATTAAAAAAGAAAATGTATTTTTTTAATATAAGAGAAAAGAATAATATAATATTTATATCTTTTATAATTTACTCTTATTTGTACTTCAATTTAAAGTTATGATGAAATCATTCATTTGAATATAATTTGACCCAACTTAGAATTATCCAAAATGTAGCATGAACTTGCTTATAAAAAAAAGCAAGTCTAATTTTAAAAATTTAAACCTAACATCAAACCAAACCAAAACAAGGCATGTATACCCTTAGTGAGAATAGGAACAAGGAAAGTACCGAAACCTTGGTCATGTAAACCAGCCGTGCTACTTGAAAGAGTGATTAAAAAATTTGTTGGAGGAATGGAGAAATGGAGAATAAATACAATACAAGAATTATTCATGTCCGTGTGTCACCACCATGAATATATCGGAAATATTGTTGGCATTTTGTAGAAAGAATGTAGATTAATTAATATTGAAAATTGTTACTAGAAAGAGAAGTTGTTTAAATTTACAATAAATCCTAATTTGGTAAATACAGAGTTGCTGTGTAATTTCCGAAGAAAGCAGTTGCAGTGTTAAAGGCTAAACCCTCTTGGCTTCGCCTTCTGTTCCATTCTTTACTTTGCTTGCTTCCTCTTCTGCTCTTTCAGGTTTTGCCTTTTTTTCAACTTCACTTTTTATTCTTTCTCCGTCTCTCTCTTCTTTTCTGATTCATCTTTCATCAAGATTTTCTGTTACTTTTGCTTCAGGGGTTTTTCGTTTTCTAGGGTTTGCTTGTGCCTCTCTCAAACATCACTTCACTCACTCTCCTTCTACTGTTCCTGCCAACTCTATACATTTTCAAGTCTTGATGGAAATAACAAATTGATCGATTACATTATTTCCATTTCTCATAAATTGTTTCTTTTTCATATTTGAGGTAATTTGTGTTTGCTTCTCGGGGAGCATTTGTCTGGCAATAATTTTGGTTTTGTTTTGTTTAGCTTTGAGTTGGTATTGCGTTCTTAATTATTCCGGGGCCTAGTTTAAGTGATTCTGATATTCACTTTTCTTGAAATTTTCGTTCGACACAGGTTATGTTTTGAGTGAAATGTTTTTTGGTTCTTTATCCCGTTTCCCACCCTCCTTCCCTTCAATTTGATGCTATTTGCGCGAAGACGTTTATGAATGACGCATAAATGTTGTTTCCCCGTTAAATTTCATTATTTCTCATCTTTTTAAACGGTTCTTGGTTGTTGTTGATTTGGGCATTTCAAAGGAATGCGATTCTTTATTTTGTTGTGTTTAATTTTATTGTTAATATTGCCTTGTATTTGTATCTGTACATTGCTTATTGCTCACGTAGTTCCTTAATGAAGGATTTCTGGTTGAAAACAGGTGGCGTGCCCTTGCTATTTGGAGGGGGGGAAATTTGGAGTTTCTAGTTAACTTAAGCATGATAAAACGTTCACCAAGTAGGAACCAAAGATCCAGAGGCATCAAGGTAAAACATGTTCTGCAGATTACTCTATTGCTTGGTGTTTGTTTCTGGTTGATCTATCAGGTTAAGCACTCTCATGATAAGAAAAAGGAATTTGATGAGAATGACACAGAAGTGTCAGTCGGAACTCAGACTTCGAAACTTGGAAGAAAAGATCTTCGTCTGGGTAAGGATGAAGTGAATCAAAATGAAAAGCCTGATGAAGAGGAGGAAGATGAGAATGTTGTAGAGGATGATGAGGATAAGCATGAACACAGTGAACATGAAGGAGGAAATGAGCACGAATCTGTGGAAAAAGATGACAAACATGGAGTGAGAGGAGGGGGAGATGAACAAGAGGTAGATGAAAGGGGGGGAGGAGATGATGAGATAGATGAAAATGATCAAGAACAATCAGCAGTAGATACTGATCATGATGAGGAGTTCATGGATGAAGACAAAGGGAGAGAAGAGGAGAGCGATGAGAAAGACAAAGAGAACATCAAGGATGAGGAAAAGGATGGTTCAGTTACCAACCACAACAGTCATGAAGCTCGGGAGGAAAATTACAATGGGGATGATGCTTCTAGCGCTGTGTCTCATGATACTGGTACAATTAGCACCGAAACTGAGGCACTCAGTTTAGAAAACTCTGATGTAAACTTGGAAATGAATATCACGAAATCAGTGAATAGAAGTAATTATTCCAAGGAAAGTAACAAGAACCAACATAGTTCAAATTTTAATATTACAGAAGCTGTACTGCCTGGTGAGCCTTCTTCCAATGCAACTTCTGGTAAAGAAACTGGAAGCAACGGTTTGTCCAACATTGTGGATAGCTCACATCTAGAAAATATTACCACAACATTTTCGGGCAGTCATTCAGAAGCTGGCAGTAATCTGACAGTAGTGATCCCTGGAGGTAGCAATAACTGGACAGGAACCAGTGCCAATAATTCATCTGAACCTAATAAAATGGTAATGTTTTCGGAATCAAACCAAGCTCAAAATGGTACTGTGAACACAACACTCACTGGAGATGTCAAAAATGTGCAGACAGAAGGATTAGAGCAGGGTGGCAATATGCTCTCTGAGGAAAACCTGCTAGGTTTAAACCTAACAGTCCCAGCTGAAACAGAAAAGCGAGATGTAGCTGCAGGTGAATCTTCTAATCTAGAGGGTGGTGAGTTAGAGAAGACAAGAAGATTTGTAGCACCAAAAGAAACCGAGAACAGCGGCAACACTGAGTCGAGTGAAACAAACAAGACTCAGAATATTTCATATATGAATGAAAACATTGATGCCACTAAGGATGAGATAAAGGGTGACCCGGCAACGGATGAAACTTCCGACTCAGTTGAACACCGTGACTTTGATTCTTTAGATTCCCACATCCTTAAGAATGTGGCAGAGGTACGAACTGATCTGGATACGTTGCCAGATATTAGGAATGAAGGGGATAATGGTGATGCAACTGCAACAGACTAAAAACATGGTCTTTTTGTTCTCGAGGTTTTTCTTCTGACCCAAGTTATTTGAAAACTTTTGCCTGTCAAAAAAAGGAAAAAAAAAAAAAGGTCTAGCTGAGATCGTCAAAGGTACAAAGTAGACTTGTTGATATTCATATCAAGATCTGAATATGTATAACTAATTTTGTTTTCCACTGTCTACTGCTGTTGTTAATTTTGCTTCCTGTCCTATTACTTGTTGCCATATTCTTTTTCCCCTTTTGCCGAGTAGTTTTTTCTTGTTTGAATTTCTCTTTATAGTATCCAATCCCATCCATGTCTTCTAAACCATTGCTTTAGTGGAGTGGAAAGGAAGATAAAATTGAAATTTCAATTAAAATGAAAATGAAAATAGAAAGAAAGAATTTTTTTTTTTAAATTTTTTTTTCTATTTTCTTTTCAATCAAATAAAAGAAATGTTTTTCTATCATCCAAATATACCATAAGAGTGCAGTACATAAAGTAAATAAATGCACAGTTGAGAAATAGGAAATGTGTTGTATGTAGTGTATGGAGAAACAGCAGAAGGGGATTAATAGGGGAAAAGACATGCAGTGCATTAGTTAATATTCAGCAATAATTTCATACATCATAACATTCATTTTAATGCAAAATTTGTAGTGAAATTAGTTTAAATTATACGGTGCAGTTTAAAAATATTCTTTTAAAAAATAATTTTATCAAATTCTAAACGTAAAGTTCAAAACATATAGAATCAGAAGGCACATGTGGATTCAATGAAAACTGTTGTTTATGAAATCTTCTAACCTTTGCCTGAGAAACAAAATTAGGCACTAGCAATATTTTCACAATATGAAACCGACAAATTAGCATACATTTATTGCCATAGCTTCATCGCACGATCCAAACATGGGAATCTCATCCAAAATCTGTAACTCATGCAAGACATATTGGAACAGTTAGAATCCTTAGATAAAGGAAATAAAAATAATAGATTATTAAAAAGTGTTATTGCTATTTTTTTATTATAATTTTAAAAAACTTTTAACATGATTTTAATAAATACTTTTTTTTATCAATTTGTTAATTAGTGTCCTTAAGACATTGGATTGGGGATAAAATAGCAAAATGCATGCATACCTTGGCCCAAAATGTTCCACTACTCCTCATCTAATTTGTTCTTAAACTTTGAGTCCTGACTGTGTTTTACAGCTCCAGTGTCGTCACTCCATCACCTGCATTCGCTGGCCCTGTGACCACTTCACACACAGCCAGCCTGAGAAATCCCTATTTCTACAAGATAAAGATAGTGAATGCTGTTGCCAATTGGGTTTGCATTTTTTAATTAATACCATGCTAGTTTGGACGGATTTGATGGTAATATTTGATTTGATAAACATTAGATATTAATATTTGATTTAATGGGCCAACAATAATTCCGTAAATTTTGTTATGATTTATGATATTGTATTCTGAAAATAAATATAAAATAATTAAAATGGGCCAACAAGCCAGACTGAACAAGCAAATCAGTGAACTATATAAATTATAAAGAGTTCGTTTGGTCCAGCTTATTTGTAGCTTAATTTTACTTATAAGTGAAAACTGTGCCAAACATACTTGTGAGAACATTGAATTCAATAATTAGATTAATAAAATTTACTTTTAGTAAAAATTATTAAAGGTTGACATTTTTTAAAATTTGATAGTAATTCACAAACATTTTTCTCTAACACACATTGTATATAAGAGATAGCACATTCATGTATAAGAGATAAGTTGAGAAAGTGTGAAACTACAAAAAGATTAAATATAATTTATCTACTCTTTTATTTTTCCATTTTTTGGAATGTGGGACGAAGATTTGGGGTAAATTTGCAAAAAATAAGGCCAGGCCTTCAAAGCCGTTTGTTTTGGGCCCACACTTTATTTTGAAATGAATGTGGTGGGCGTAAGCCGTGTCCCTGTTCTTCTTTTCGTCTTTCTTTTGTTCATACGAAAACGAAAACATTATTTTCTATTTGGTAAAATATATAATTAGAAACTAAACAAACTGTTTTCTCATACACTTGGATTCCATAGTAAGTGAATAAAGTACCGTATAAAACAAAATTTATGCAGATCAAAATTTAAGTCAACCAATCTTTGTACTGATTTTGTTTCCTAATCTCCCTCTAAGTTTTCTATCTGTCAACTGTCATTATTTTTAACTTAAGTGGAGGACAAAAGAAATTTCAGCTAATATAGGTAATATTTGATTTTGTATATATTAAGCTTAATTTGGTTGCTATACTTCTACCGCCGTTTTGGTAATATATATATTGTTTCCTTTTCAAAATATACTTGCATAATATTTGAAGTATAAATTCAAATTGGATCTCGTTAATCAAGCACCAGTTTAGAAGGTAAGAGTGTTAAATCTCATCTAATCGTATGTACAGTTGCATATATTGATTAAATAGTCCTACCAGACTAAATTAGAAGATTAACAATTAATTGTCTTTGAATTTTTTTTTGAAGGTCAAAATTAAAAGACTGTTTAAGAACATGTTGAAAATACTTTTTTTTTTCGGCAAGACATGGTTGAAGATAAGGACGGTTCTCGCCTCTCTGTCGATATATAAAAGTAACATTTTTATTTTGATATATAACTTTAAAAATATTTTGTAAACATAATAATGAAAATATTTTTTTAAGATATATAATTAATTTTAGTTAAATTTATAATATTACTATTATCCAAAACGTAACTGTTCTCTTTTTTATTTATTTACATTTTCTTTGTATTGTTTTTTGGACTTAGGCAGCACCGTGTGATTTACTGTCGGAATTATCGGCTAGGTGACAGCAGTCTTCACGCAATGCCTCTTCTTTGCGACGGTGAATTTTGTTCACATGTTTGTGCCGCAACGTGGTGGAGATGCAACTGAAGAAGGAAATGAGTTCCAGTTGTGTCGCCGACCTCGACTAGTCCAAGTTCACCAACATTGTCATGCTACTCACCACAACTCTTATTTTCCTTTAATTCAACTATTTGTCAAGCTAATATCAAATAGTTCCAATAAGATTTTTGTCATAGTCCTAATCACCAGAGTTACTATTGGAATAAAAGGGTTACGGACTTGTTATATAATATGTTCAATTAATTTAATATATTAAATTGTAGTTTAATGTGTTATCAATTTTTTATTGGTCGGGTTTGCCATGTCATTTATGGTCTGAGGCCATATATGTCTTTCTTGATGAATGTTTACTTAGACAAATAAGGCGGATAAATAAGTAAATTCCTTTATAACCTTAAGTATATAATTTTTAATATACTCAATAAATCTTAACCGTTTCATATTAAATTCATATATCTAACTGCTGTAAATCATTATCTATACATGAAGCACCTGAGATGTTACTTTAAAACCCTCATGGTTGAGGCATTCATCTCCATGCTTCATGTTAGACTTTCCCTGAAAATAATATGTGAACAAATAACTTGAGTCCGTGGGTTCCTGCCAATCCATGTCCAAATTTATAATACCCAATGAAACATCAAACAAAGCAACCTCACAGATGCATGCACTAGAACCAAAACCAAAACATAGGATTCTGAAGGTTCATCTTATATTAATTCCAACACACGAGACATGAATTAAAAAACTGTACAAACTCTTCATCCAAAAAAAGAGAAGAATAAAAGAATACAAGATCTGATGAGTAAGCAAAATAAGAATTCAAAACTTTATGTCTAAGCTAAGAAAATGCCAAATAATTTCCTAACTGTACATTCCCTCACTCAGAACCCAAAAAAAAAAAAAAAAAATTGGTCCTTGCTCTCCTTGTTACAGATTCCGCTTGGCCTTAATTGCACGCAAAACGACATAGGAATTAAGCTCGAAACGACAAACACAAACGGAGGAAAGTATTCTACTGCCGCAACTCCTTTCGGAGTTTCTGAGAGAACAACTTGCAAGCGTCGATGCTCAAATCCAAGGCCGCGGCGAGAGCAACGAACGCCGCAGCATCCTCCGTGCAAGTCACGTGCTGCACCCCAACCTCCACTTCCGGTTTGCTACACTTTCCTTCTCCGTTCACCGTCGCCGACATCACAAAACCCTTGTAAAAGAATTGCGACTCAAACCCAAAATCCGAACTTGACATGGACCCGGACCCCAAATCCCAGCTTCCGTTCGGGGTGTTCGCCGGAGTGACGCCGGAGGTGGCGTCAATGGTGAATTTCCCGCCGCGCTGTGAGCTTAGGGTGGAGGCGGCGAGCGTGACGGGGTCGGCGGTGGCGGGGAGGACTTCGAAGCGGTAACCGACGGCGGCATTGGAGTGGTTGGGCTCGCGCCAGGCCTCGAGGCGGCCCCAGGGCTTCCACGTGCCGTCTCCGTCGGGGCGGATGATGAGCCAGGCCCCCGGGTTGGAGCGGCTGACCCGCTGCGATCCCGGCGAGGGTACAAAGGGCGTGACCATGGAGGCGGCGGCCACCGGCGAGCCGGAAAGGTCGTGCACGGTGATGGACCAGCCTTTCCGGTTGGCGTTGAGGGTAGGGAATTGAACCGGGTTCTTGTCCCTGAAGCTGAACTTGCAAGTGAAAACCGGTTGCTTGACGTGGCCTTTCACTTGAAATACCTGCGGGCTGCATTCGGGCTCCCCGTCGAAGCGAAAGACAAAGCGAGGGTCTGGCTCCGCCCGCACTGTCAAATGCAAGAGCTGGGCCTTGGAAAGGCTGGCCCACCCGTTGTGGATGGTGCAGGGCCGCGACTGGGCCGAGGCGAGGTCCAGCGGTATGGTGATGCAGCCCATTAGTTTAGCCGAAGTGAAGAAGCAGGTGGGCGTGGTGGGCCCCTTGTAGACGGAGATCTTTATGTGCGCTTTCTTTGAGGCTTTCATGATTTGGGGTTTGGAGAAATCGAAGGAGGCGGCGAGGGAGTGAGGGTTTGGGTCCCTTTCTGATATGAGAGGCAGTGTGGCCACGTGGCATCTGGCCGTATCCGAAGCCACCCCCTTTAGCTTTATCCTGCAGAAGAAGGGCGAACTCGATGGGTGCACCTTCCCTGAGTAGGATGAGGCCTTGGACGACGCCGGCGATTTGACGGCGAGGTTTCCGACGAGGATCCGCACGAAAGGGCACGGATCCATATTGAAGGTTTGTGTGAGTGTGAGTGAGGGAATTGAATTAACAAATATCCTTCTCTTCTCTCTCTCTTTATATCATTATTCATTAGGCATTAGCTGACAGTGAGAGCTGAGAGGGAAACTCATTGTGACAGCCTGTAACCTCGTTGGATCCTACATTACATTCTTCTTTTTCTTTCCACTCTACCACTTACCACTTACCACTTACCACCACTCATTCATTTTTTCTTTTTCCTTTTTCTTATATACATACATTCACATTCACATGCACATGCACACTGCACTACTCCTACTTTCTACATCCAGATGACACCTAATTCTTTCCCATCCCTTCATTTCAATTCTTTTTTAATTGCACGTACCCTAATAACTAAACTATCTACCCTACCCGATCATGTCATCCAATCTGTTTTCCCAACCTAAGTAACTTACGGATTTCACTTCTAATTTTTCGTCAACATAACATTTACTTTTCTTTTTTTTAAAAAAAATTCCAATATAAGATATACTTCCACGTCTATATGGCAAAAAAAATATTATACTCTTGTGAAATTTTCAAACATCAAAAATTACTAAATATAGAAAAGTGGGTAACGGATATACATATTTTGAATTTTATGATTCTGTGATTCACTTAATCACGGTCAAAAAAAGTCAATGGCTGCTTTGTTTTTACAAATAATTTTATTTTCGATGTTGTAGTATTGGAATCATTTATAAATGGTAAGTAGTAAATATAGAATATTTTGTACTAAAAAGGATATGAAATATAGGTTATCAAATCAAATAAAAAAAGTGAACTCAATGATCTTGAAAGGATATCATTTCTTAAATATTATATTCCCTGACATATTATTTTCATATAAATTTGAGAGTTCAGTCTTAAAAATAAGATAACTTTTACACTTACTCTTTTTTATTTAGGCATAGTTTTTGTTTTTATTTTGTGATATATATATTTATATATATATATAATATTTTTTTCCCTTTTGATTGATTGTCTAATTAATGGAAAATCAAAGTCCTTTAATTGTTTTAGCTATTATTAAAAAAATCTCGATAAATATAGAATATAATATTTTATTCATAAATTATTTTTATATATTTTAATATTTAAAACAATTTCACTCAACTAAATATTTGTATTTTTAACGTCAAAATAAAAAAATTTTAAAAACCAAATTTTACATTTTATGTATATTTTAAAATATTCTTGTGATCAATAAGATTTTTAATAACACAACTATATATCCCTGCTATATAGAGCATGTGAAAAGTTTTTATTTTTTTTAACAAATTACTATATTTATTCGAAAGTATATTTGTAGATTTTATTTTAATTTTACTGATGGTTTTTTTTTTGTTGAAAAATATAGTTGACTATCTTTAATGTATTTTTTAATTATATTTTTTTAATTGATAAATTCAAATATGCAACTTGACTTGAAAAAAAAAGAGTTGAATACTAGTCAAACTAAAAATTTATTAGTAGTAGTTTGGAAAAGTGAAAAAGAAAACTTATGTTTAATGATTTTAAAAAAAAATCAGAATAACATTTTGACTGCATTTATAAATAGTGGTTTAATGAAAAAGATATGTTAATTAAGAAAAATGATTATGTTAATTGAAATGTGAGGTTTTATTTTATAAAAAAGGATGTGTGGGAAATGAAAGATAGTAATAATAAAAGGGGAGAAGCAGGTATGTGTGTTGGATGAATAATAAGGCAATTAGAAATGGATGGGTGTTGAGCTGGAAGCGTACAGCGAAGAGTGATTGTGAAAGATTGTCGTATTAGGATGGAGTTGGGAGTGCGCACGTACGGCAACAGCAGCATTTCTCACGCATTTGTCGGGGATCCAACGCTCACATAGCTGGCATTTGCGTCCACTACGGGCCGTTATCTCGATTATGTGGGCCCTTTTTACTACCCTCCACACCTATTGCCTATTGCCTATTGCCTATTGCCTATTGCCCATCTTTCTTACTTCTTACTGCAAAGGAAACAAATTATTACCAGTTCACCTTCTCTTTAGTAATCAAGATACAAGACAAATCAAGTCAAGCAAATTCCTGAGAAAACACAAAAAAAGTAAATAAAAAATAAAGTAAAATGGGCATTGGCCTTTCATCCTAAAATTATACTTGAAGAAAATAGTTAGTTTGGATTTTTGGATAAAATAATAATGAGTGCTAAAAACATGAAGAAGAAAAAAACATATTCCTTCGGACACAAAATGTACACAAATAATGTTTTTGACAAAGAGTTAATCATTCATAAATTGTTGTGTAAAATTTTTTACACTGACAAATAATTATATTTTTTTATAAATTTTATTTTATTTTTATTTCATTAAATAAGCAAATGATATTACATTATTAAAAGATATGATTAGTTGTCAATGTAAAAAAAATTTACACCGACAATGTATAAGTGATTAATTCTTTGACAAAATGTATTTGAGAAGAAGTTAAAAAAAATTCATAAATTAGTTTGATTAATTTATAAATTAGTTTTACTGAATTAAGTTTGTTTGAGCTTATTTCAATAACTTTTATCATATTTTCACAAATTACTTCAAGTAACTTATGAAAAATAACAATTTATAAAATATTATATTTCTTTACTTTATAAAATAATTTTTTTAAGTTTTATCCTCATTAAATTTTTTTGCCTTGAATAGTTAAATATGTCATCTTATGAAAGTTTGTAGCAATTTTTTTTTGAGAGTAAAATACTGGTTAATAATATAAAAAAAATTGTGCCAAAATCAGTGATTTTTTAATGCTTTCAGTAACAATTGATGATGTTTTATGTCGTTAGGATGTCATTGATTCTCTTGTATAACCTCCGTTGTTTGCTTTTGAAATTGAGTGTAACGCATGTACGAATGCTAAGTAATACAGTAACATTTTTATTTCCAAAGAAACTGGAAGCAGTAAAAGTGTATGACTGTTAATTAAGGCTACAGCGCAACAATTTATGTCTTGCTTGTGGAAGCACATATTTCTCGTTTGCTTTCTTCTTACTAACTTTTCAGGAAAAAAAAAAAACTTTATATATTCTATTAAAATCACATTAAAATTCTGTTGCTACATTTTCACAAGGTTTGCTGCTTAGTTATTTTTTTTTACATGGTATCCCTGCAAAATAATTATACCCTTTATTTTCCACTTTTTTTAAAATAATTATACCCTTGCTGTTTATTTATTTTTTTTATATAAAATTAAGGGTTTTATCTTTTTTATTTTTTATCCTCAAATAGTAGATGAGAAATTAATATACTGTCAGATATTTGAGGAGTGGTCTTAACATTTTTTTTTCTTTTGCCATGAATCTTACGATTAAACTCAAAACTATGTGATATTTTTATATTATTTTTCTTATTTTGTTCAAAATTTTAGAGAGAATAAAAAAAAATTAAGGGGATTGAAATTTTTTTCATCTAATTTTCACTCCCATTTAGTAAAATAAAAGGAATTCGTTGGGTAAAGAAATTTCGAAATTAGCAAACTTAAGGAATCTTGACTTCAATTTTTTGTTTGCCTATTTTATATAATAGTAATTTTCTGTTTTTCTTGTAAAAAAAAGTGTACTTCTATTCTCTTCTATTAAAATTTATCTTCTCTTATTGAGTAAAAAATTTACTTCAAAGGGGTTTAAATAACTCAATTTGAACTAATAATACACAGTGATGTAGTTTACCTCTTTGTTTAGCTTAATTCACATATATGATTATTAGAATTTGGAACATTGATGTAGCCACAACTATAACAATAACGCTAAATTATTTTTAAATTTATTCTCAATTCATTGTTCTGAGAATAATTTCTTCACGTTTTCTTTTTCAATTAGAGACCAAAAATAAACTTAAATCCTGAATTACGTTAAGTGGAGTCGTTTAAGAGCAAACAATTTTTTTTCTTCACAAAATTGAAACATGATTTATTTTTTAAAAAACTAAATATGAGTTTCTTTCTAATATATGAAAAGAAACAATTAAAACAGATTACTAGGCAAAATGTGAAGGGTCCTTATAGTGTGAAAAATTTGATTGTAATAAAAATTGTTGTAGAAGAATATTATTAGAATGGGAAGTAAAGAAGGGGAGGGTAGAACTAGTGAGGTACTAGTCGTCCCCGCAATAAAAATCCTAATTTAAAAAATCAATATCGAAAGTTGAAAGCAGAGGGATTAATAAGAGTGGAAGAATTAACATTGGCGTAAATCTGAGGAGGTTTGTGGCCAAAGGCATCAAAAGGCCCAAATCCGTTAGGCGCAGGCCCAGGCCCATTAACCGGTGCAGGAACATTGTTCTGGTCCATCAACATTTGGGTAGCATATTTTGCAACATTCTTCTTCAACTCCTCCATTGAAAACATTAAATGTTGTAACTCATGCAATCCAAGTTGAGGAACAGGGATCTCCCACCAAAACTTACTCTGTCTAGTTTTCCACACTCGATCTAACTCTTCTCCTTGCTTTTTCTCAATTTCCAACTGATTAAGAATTTGGGTGAGTTGCATGTTGAGGTTACCAATATTTGCATTGCGGTGTACCTCAACAAGCTGGTGACCACTACTAGACTCTAGGGAAGAGTTTGGAGTTAGATAAGAATCGATTATGGATTCAACTTCTGGGTGGCCAAAAGAGAAGGCTTTATCAGCAGGGGAGAAAACAATGATTGCAATTTCCACTCCACAAAGTGTGCATAACTCACTAGCCTTTTTGAAAAGCCCCGAACGACGCTTTGAGAATGTCACTTGTAAATGACTCTTTTTTGGTATTTTCTCAATTGGAATCTTTTGACGACCTGAGCTACACTTTCTCTTAATCATTATCATCAATGCCTCAAACACACAATACCTAAGTAAGTTCCTGATGTCGGATTTGTACAACAAAATGGACTATTTATATTTACCTTAGGCTTTGTGGCTATTAACAAGATTCATCATCCTATCAGACTCTTTTATTACTCTTTATAAGTAGTCCAGGATTAGCAAGTTATGAAATCTTAAATCTTAATATCCTCATTATATCATATCTCCTATCTCTTAGTTGGCATCATAAGTTTTTCACTTTTGCAAATTTAATTATTTTAAGCTAATATATATATGTCATATTTTATCCCAACAGTTACTTTCCGATATCATAATTCTACAATTAAATATATTTAATACTAAAAAACAGTTTGTCTCAAAGAATTATTTCCACGAGAGTTATGTAAAAACACTAATCTTGGTTTTTTTTTTAGAATAAAAAAATCTTGGTATTTTTGTTTCATGAGAATCGAGTAATATACCAATAAATTTCAATGTATTGAGCTAATATATATATGTCGTGGTAATTTTTTTATCAATAAAAATCTACAATATTTTCAACAGTTACGTTCCAATCTCACTGTACACATGAAACTTGTTTTTATTCAAATATTGATGATAACAGGTATTCTGTATTATTTTGTTCTTCAATAGGAATATCTGAAATGGATTGAATTCTAGACAATATACATAAATGGAAATATCCTTAAATTTTAAATTCAGAATAAACTATATAAAGAAACATCGTGAATTCAGATTACAGGAAAATAACCTTGAGGATATTACCTAATAGCCGTTTTATCTTTATTAAATTTTGATTTTCTAGGTTTGTTCTTCTTTCACTGCTTGTGGGGTTCTTTCGTCATTTTTTTTATTCAAAATAGTGACGTCAATTTTCCTTTATAAAATATACTCAGAACTAATAGTTTAGGATACGCAATTTTCAAAATAATTTTTTATTTTATATAAATAAAACTTATAATAAAAAATAATTTTAAATATATAATTATATTATAATTAAAATTTGTAATAAATAAATATTCTTATCATATAAATTTGATTTTATATTTATAATAAATAATTTATATTAGGATATAAGATTGTTTTGATTAAACAATATTGTTATTGTGCATTTTTTTTTAAATAAAACTAATGCAATTAATTCACACTTATTTTTCTTTATTATAATTCCTTTTATACTTTGCACATTCAGTTTATTAGTTAAATTTTTCAGCATTATCTTTTAAAGTGATTATAACTAAAAAAATTTGATAATTTAATATTTTCTTTTTTTATTTTACCATTTATACTCCTTGAAAAAAAAATTATTAAAATTTTTTTATAAATAAATCACCTAAAAAAATTATTAAAGATCACAATAAAATATTGCGATTTAAAATTTCAAAACCTTAACCATTTAAAGAAAACAAACATTTGATAAATCAAATATTCAGATTCGATTTTGTTAATATCTATATATCATCATATAAAGAAAATAAATTGTTTGTTAATTGTTTTTAGTTTCCATTTTCTTTAGTACTATTTTACTATTCAATTTTTATTCCATTACAATTGTTTTTGGTTTTCAAGCATCTGGTCTGGTATCTTTTCCTCTTTTTATTTATTTATTTTATTTTAAAAAAATCTTGTTTCACATATATAACTGTATCTTTCACGATTTTTTTTTCTCACACATGCTTTTCAAAAAAAAATTTCTTCTTCAGAATGAATTTTTTTTTATATCAAATTAATTGGAGTTTTAGTAAAATTAATGCAATTTATCGAGGCTTTCTTCGTGAATAAGATTTATTACAAAATTTGTTCACATATTCTCCTCATCAAATATTAAAAGGAAATGATATCAAATATAGTAAATATACTAATTTGTACTATAAATTTACAATAACTTGCATATTAAAAATAGTAAATATAGTATTTTGGTTATATAAATTTATAACATTTTGTATATAAAAATTTTAAATATTTAATTTTGGTATTAAATTTTTTTCATAGAGGTGTGAATGCCTTCATATTATAATTTTTCAACTATAAATAACACATTATAATAAGAAGTTATAGTTAAACAATAAATAATTATTATTATAACTTAAAAAACACTCATCAAAAAATAACTTAAAAATTATCTCCTTGTTGAGAAACAACATCTTAATACCAAAAGAATTGTTAGGATTGTTATTGTTTGAAAATAGAAAAATATTTATTTTTATTTACATGAATAAAAACAATAGAAACAATTATCATAAAATTAAAAGAAGCTGAAAAATAAATAAATATAAATATATGATAAATGATATTATAATATAGCATAAGTGAAATAATTGAAATATATACAATATAATTGAATATGATCAAATAAGGGACTTGAAGATGTTAAAATAATTAAATATCTTGATAAAAAAAAATTAAATATCAATTATATTTTTTTAAGTAACGTAATTAACAGTTACATTAGATAACGATGTTAAAAAAAACAATTAAATAAAATAAATAGTATTCGTAACATATATGAAACATTAAATTGTAGAAAGTGGGACAAAATACATAATTAGGATAAATATTCATTGAAAGAAAAAATAATTAGTAAATAATAACGATATTTAAAAAAAATCTAATAATTATTAGTAATCATTTACATTATATTTTGTTTAATAACAAATATATATATATATATATATTTTTTATTTTTATTTTTTATTTTTTTCTTGTTGTTAGATCTAAAAAAAGTCTATAAAATCAAAAAATATATAGAATCATTCCGGTAACAAACAAGTTTCCTTAGGAAATTATTTCAGACGAAACAAGTGAACCAGACGAAGTGTATTATCTTGGTCAATGTCACATTTATTTCTCGTTAAAATAAAATAATAGTCTTTAAGAAGCATTAACTTTTTATTCTTTAACAAATTAGATGAAAAAACTTCCTTAAAAATAACAAAAACTTTCAAAAAGAAATGTCAAATCATTGCGTCCGAAAAGAAAGAGAAAATCACATATTTTATGGAAAAGACACTACAAAGACTATTATGCTTCAACCTCAACTGTTCTGTTCTAACACTAGTTTTGCTATGCTCAAAATATAAGGAAATGATGATAAATAACTACTTAGATCAAATAAGAAATACACGTTTCACTGATAAATAAACTTGTGAAAAAATTTGAACGTTTAAATCTAACATTGTTGTAATGTCGTATTCTTTAAAGATACCATGTAAGGGTGAAGCTTTCAAACAAGAAATAGACAAAAATATTACAAATAAAAAAAGATAAGCGCTGTAAATAAAAAAAATATATCATTACTAGGAAGCATATTGAACTTACATAGCTAAAGCACTACAAAAAAGTTTTTCATTGAAATTCTTGTAAATAGTTATTTGTAAATTATTTGTGCTTAAGTTTAATAACACCACATTTAGAATAGACCAAACTATTGGTATAACTTTTGTCAAATTTATTTGTAAGGGTGAAATATGGAGATGCTTGTGCAAAAGAATACTCAATGATTAAACCTAAAAAAACTTGTTGAAAGAATACTCTGGATTGAACTTATAGAAACTTGTTGAAAAAATACTTTGAATTAAGTTTTGAGAGAGTTATTGAAATAATACTTGGTGTTGAGCCTGAAAATATTTATTGAAAAAGTACTTATGATTGAGTTTATAGAGACTTGTTGAAATAGTACTTGAGATTGAGTTCGAAGAGGTTTGTTGAAAAAATACTTAATGTCGAGTCAGAAATGACTTGTTTATGAAAAAATACTTTTATCTTGTATAAAACAGTAGAATTCAATCTGGTTGGATTGATAATTGAACATAGTCTTCATGTTTAAGACGAACTAGTATAAAATACTTGTGCCACTTTGTCTGATGATTTTCAGTACTTCGTCTATCACAACTTCTACCATTTCACTGTACTTTAAAAGCGTGAGTTTTTTATATACATTACTCAACTCCTCTCCAGTGTGTATCCTTTTCTCTAACATATATATTCTTTAAATTTTATCGATACATTTATATATTTTTTGTTAACATATTAATATATTTAAATTATAATAAATAAAAATCTTAATATAGTTTTATTAATAAATGTATAATTTATATTTTGTTTGAGTTCTTAACATAGTAGTATTGATAATTAGTAAAATAATATTACAAATATCAACAATTATTAATTAATGAAACTTAAATGTAATAACTATTACTATTATTTTTATTTAAATTTAAAATATAATAGTTATTAATTAATGTATTTTAGTAAATAAAATTAATTTTGTTAATATGTAATTTTTGTCCCTTATTTAAAAATAAAAATATTAAGTTCTTTTGTCTTTTTGTTAATTCAACATTTATTGATCGTTAAATTTTGATGTTATTGCCTAATAACTCGTCATTGCCGACATGTATGATAAAATTTTTAAAAGCAACATATAAAAGATTTTCATTTATATATTTTAACAAGTAATTAATATTTATTTTATATTTTTATAGTTTTTTTATATTTGAATGTCATGTCACATTACTTAAACATAAATAAATTAAAATTTAATAATTAAAATATGTTCATATTTTTAAAAATAAGAAAATAGATATTTCTATTTTAAAATAAAGAGACTAAACATAAACTTAATCTAAAAAAACAGGGAGTGGGGTAGTGTAATTATTTTAGGGATAAATTTTGCACAAAATTTGCACGTGAAAAAATATTGTCCCCTTTATTATAAACCAATGAAGCGAAACACTTTATATATCTATGTATTTAATTTAAATAAAAATAAATATAAAAATTAAGAAATAAAATAAATGTAAAGTAAGATATATGGTGAGTTGTACTTGTATTACAATAGTTACAATAAAAATAATAAAAATACAACGTGTTTAATACAAACTTAGTGATAGTTTACATGTTACAATAAAAAGAGAATGTGTTCAATATAAATTAAAATATTTGAAATTATTATAAAATAAATTAATTAAAGATTAAATATATATAAAGAAAAGACAGCTAAAATAATTTTTTA